TTGCCCCGCCCCCCCCCCCTCGCCCTGCCCCAGGCCCAAACTGGCCCCAGACGGCCCGCGTTGTCATGATGCTCAGGAGCTGGCCTTTGGACCTCCAGAGCTGGCCCCAGTGTTGAGTCGGGCCTGTCCCTCTACAGGGGGCACATTCAAAAATAATCAATCACCCTGTGACGTACCCGACCCATTTGTATCATGGGAAACGAGGAGTTGGCCGAAACTTGCACGGACAATCAAATTGCAGGATCCGTTGTTTGATATGTCAGCTACTTGGGACACGCGCCAATGGAATGATGCGCAGGAGAACCATACAAGAACGAGGGGCGACAACTACAGGCTCGAAGAGGACATGGTGAGTCGGGAACGAAGAGCAGGAGAAAGACGTGCGGGAAGTCCACTGTGCTGGGCCCCCAAGCAGGCCTCGAAAGTGGCGACAGTTTCACAGATCGCAGCCCCCCCCAGGGATGGCGAGGTCCCATTTGAATCCGCCGCGGTTGCACATTGTGCTGGGCCCCCCAGCAGCCCTCGAAAGTGGCGACAGTTTCACAGATCGCAGCCCCCCAGGGATGGCGAGGTCCAATTTGAATCCGCCGTGGGTGCCCACTGTGCTGGGCCCCCCAGCAGCCTTCGAAAGTGGCGACAGTTTCACAGATCGCAGCCCCCCAGGGATGGCGAGGTCCAATTTGAATCCGCCGTGGGTGCCCACTGTGCTGGGCCCCCCAGCAGCCTTCGAAAGTGGCGACAGTTTCACAGATCGCAGCCCCCCAGGGATGGCGAGGTCTAATTTGAATCCGCCGTGGGTACCCACTGTGCTGGGCCCCCCAGCAGGCCTCGAATGTGGCGACAGTTTCACAGATCGCAGCCCCCCAGGGATGGCGAGGTCCCATTTGAATCCGCCGTGGGTACCCACTGTGCTGGGCCCCCCAGCAGCCCTCGAAAGTGGCGACAGTTTCACAGATCGCAGCCCCCCAGGGATGGAGAGGTCCCATTGAATCCGCCGCGGGTGCACACTGTGCTGGGTCCCCCAGCAGCCCTCGAAAGTGGCGACAGTTTCACAGATCGCAGCCCCCCAGGGATGGCGAGGTCCCATTTGAATCCGCCGCGGTTGCACATTGCGCTGGGCCCCCCAGCAGCCTTCGAAAGTGGCGACAGTTTCGCAGATCGCAGCCCCCCAGGGATGGCGCGGTTCCATTTGAATCCGCCGCGGGTGCCCACTGTGCTGGGCCCCCCAGCAGCCGTCGAAAGTGGCGACAGTTTCACAGATCGCAGCCCCCAGCAGCCCTCGAAACGCAGCGACGAGCCAGGTAAAAGGCAGGGGGGAAGAGAGGGACGGGAGGGGGTGGGAAGGTTCGCGCGAGCAGTGCTCTATTCAAAACGAGAACCCAACGCAGGAGGGTTGGGAAAAATAGGCAGGGGACTATTTTTTGGAATGTTTTTTGAATATTTGATGTTTTTTTTCCGTATTTTTTCCATTTTTCGCCCAAAATCCGCCTGTATGGGGGACGTGCCCGACCTAACTCCAGTGGCTCCAAGTCCAGACGTGCGGTGTCCACATTTTCTCCGCACGCGGCTCCCAGAAGTCCCCGACCCTTGCCCCCCAGGCCGGTTCTCCCAGGGCCCGGTCAGGGCCCCCCCGGGACCGAAAGTCGAGCAGCCCGGCGGCGAGCCCAGGGGGGCATGCAGAGGGAGCGCGGGCCTTCTCCGGCTCGGAGGGCACCGGGCCTCCCCCGAAGACGCAGGACGCTCTTCAGAAGGCGCCCGGGCTTCGGAGCAGCCCGGCCGCCTTCCGAGAAGGCCTGCCCCTCCCGCCCCAGACCCCCGACGTCGTGATTTTTTCACAACGTCGACCCCCAGAAGTCTGGACCCTTTCCCCGGGACCGGTTTTCCATTCTGAGTCGTTTTTTCACGGTCCCGAGGCCCGGTGAGGACCTCCAGAGGGCGACAATAGCAAAAAACCTTCCGTCGTGATTTTTTCACGACGCGATGGGGTCTGGGGCTTGACCCCCGGGCCCGCCGCCGAGAGCAGCGCCGCCGTCCCGACCCTTCCAGGGCGCTGCGCGCCCGGGGGCTCCGCCCGAGGAGCTGCCCCCCAGTGGCTCCAGCATCCGTCCTGCTCGGCTCCCGCCCCCAGACCCCCTCGAGTCATGAAAAAATCACGACGGAAGGTTTTTCGTTATTTTCGCCATCTGGGGGCTCTTACCGGCCCTCGGGACCGTCAGAAAACAACTCAGGATGAAAAACCGGTCCCGGCGAATAGGTCCGGACCTCTGGGGGTCGCGTCATGAAAAAATCATGACCTCGGGGGTCTGGGCCCTGTGCCCGCTCCTCCCGAGCCGCGCCCAGCGTGGCGCCCACCGGCGGCCGAGGGAGGAGGAGGCCCCTGGAGGCCGGCGGGGATCGGGCGGGCCCAGGGACGAGTCCGGACTGCCGGCGTCTCGGAAGAGTCGACGAGGCGAAAATTTTTGATGGTACTCTCGGCCTCTCGGGGCCCTCGCCGGGCCTCGGGACGGTCACAAAGCGACTCGGGACGGAAAGCCAGTCCCGGGGAGGTGGTCGAGAGGTCAGGGGCTCGCGTCTCGAGGAAGTCGAGACGCCGGATGCCTAGGAATCGTTCCAGAGCGCTCGGGCACGCTCTCAGAGCGTTCTGGAGCGCTCTGGAACGGCCGCGGCGCCCGATAAATGCTCCTCCTCCTACTCTTCCTACTGCTCCTATTCCTCCTATTCCTCTTCCTCTTCCTTTGCCTCTTCCTTCTATTCCTTCTCCTACTCCTCTCCTCTTCCGCCTCCTTCTCCTCCTCCTCCTCCTCCTCCTCCTCCTCCTCCGATAAATCATTCAGACCCGCCGGATCGCAGAGATATCCGACTTTTCCCTGTCCAATTGTGTCCCTGTTCTTGCCTCGGTTGTGAAAGGCGCGGCGGAGGAGCGGCCCGAGCGCCCGCGGAGGGCCCAGACATCCAGCAGCACGCCAGTTTTTTTTGGTCGAGGCGTGGGCCCTCGCAGGTCTGGACCACTTTCCCCAGGGCTGTGTGTGTGTTCGGCGTCACCCCAATATACCAGTACTGCTTGCGCGTCGCCCCCCATCCCCCCCCCCCCGGGGCGACGCGCGCACCGAGAAATCTTCCACAGTACACGCTCCGAGCGGGGCACTTTCTGGCCATAGCGCTCGGGAAATGGTACACTACAGGATGGTCGTGCTACACGTTCGGGTCGGACGCACGCCTCCAAGGAGAGCGTATAGTACTGGTATGTCTCTGTGCGTCCCATGTTCTGTTCGTCCCGAGCTGTTGCCTGACGGCCTCGGGGGGCCGTCGAGGAATCCCCCGGAGGCCGATCCTGCAGCCATGCAGCCAAGACGCTACCATTAGGACCGCTCTGTGTTCGGAACGGGCTCGCGCTGCTCCTTGCGGTCCTTGCGTCCCAGACCCCCTCGCGTCGTGAAAAAAATCACGACGGGAGGCTTTTCGCCATCCTCGGCCTGCGCGGGCCCTTCCCGGGCCTCAGGGCCGTCAAGCAACGACTCAGGAGGAGAACCTGGCCCCAGGGCAGGAGGGGTCCAGAGCTCGGGGGGTCGACGCTGTGACAACAATCACGACGTCGGGGGTCCGAGTGGCTCCTCCAGCCCGCCTCGTGCACCCAGGCGCTGGTTGGCCCCCAGCGGGGCCTTCCCTCCTCTGGGACGTAACTCCTCGGAGGTGAAAGTATGTGTCGGCGCTGGTACTCTCGCGGTCGGCAGCCGGCGGAATCCGGCTTCGTTCGGCTTTTTTTTTTTTTTCTCCCCCCCTCCGCCCAGTCCCAGTCCATCTGGTTTCATCCGGCTCATTCCTTGGCTCAATCCGGCCTATATCCAGCGAAATGGCAGTGGATCGTTCCAAACGAAGCCCGAATCAGGCCAGAATCATCGGGCTCCCTCGCCCCGAATCGTCCAGTGAATCGTCCCAGGCTATCATCATCGAGCTCCGTCGCCCCGAATCGTTCCATAACGAAGTCCTCCCAGGAGTTGCCCCCGACCCCAGAACGGTCGCTGGAGCCCCTTGGCTCGGAGCCTCGGGTCTCGGGGCCCGGCCGTCGGGCCGCTCCCCTCGCCACGAAGGCTGGCCCGTCGCGCGCTCTTCTGCCCACGCGTCCTTTTCGGGATGTTTGGCTCCGTTGTGGTGGTGGTGGTCCTAGACAAGATCGCGTCGTACAAAAAATCAGGACGGGAGTTTTTTCGCTATTTTCGGCCCCTGGGGGCCCTCGCCAGGAGCTGGGACCGTCAAAAAACGACTCGGGATGAAAAGCTGGTCCTGGGGAAAGGGTCGGGACTTCAAGGGACGCCGTATTGAACAAAAACAGGACGTCGCATGTCTGGGGCGGTGGGCCCCGGAGGTCTGGACCACCTCCCTGGGGCCGGCTTTTCGTCCCGAACCTTTTTCTGACGCTCCCGAGGCCCGGCGAGGGCCCCCAGAGGCTGAAAGCAGCCCCAAACAGCCCGCTCCGATTTTCTTGGAGCGTCGGATCTCACCGAGCGCGTTCCACTGCTCGCAAAGCTCCTGCTCACAGACTTCCAAAGAACACACATTCGCGTCTATGTAGTGGATTGTAAATCCCCCACCCCGTGACCCGGCCCGCGACCCACCCGCGACCCACCCGCAACCCACCCACATTGTTTGAACGAAAGATCGGCGCCTGCATCGGGTTCTCTGTATAATTTGTAAAAAATTTGGCGCCTCCGGCGGGCTTCTTCGAGCCTCGCAGGCTGCAGACGTCCCCGCCGCCCCCCACTCTTGTCCGTAACTGCGGGGTGTTACGGATTTTGTGAGTGGTGGAGCGTGCTTGTCTGGGATCTCGCCGAGCGCGCTGCGCTGCTCGCAAAGCTCCTGCTCGCAGACGTCCGAGGAACACACGCTCGCGCCGATGCAGCGGATCGTGAATCCCCCACAGCGGATCCTGGCCATTTATGAGCTGCGAGCATAGTTACTCTGCGAGTCGTGGAGCGCGCTTGTTTGGGATCCTCTGCGGGGAGGTCATCGTGCCCGGGCCGACGGTGGGCCGCGACTACGCCTACTTCGAGGCTCAGGGGCAACGTTAGGGGGGGATAGGCATAGGGGGGGATGCAGCGACCCCCGATCGCCCATGGATCGCCGGGAGGGGCCCGACAGCCCCAGCCTGCCCAGGAAGCTGCGGCTGCACTATCGGAGGCCCATCGCCGGTCTGTCGGCGATGTATCGCCGATTCCAGGTCGACGTTTCCCCCCCTTGCCCCCTGTGCCTTCCCATCGTTGCCCCTCAGAGGCGATCGCGCGCGACTCGCGCGCCTCGTTCCTGCGGGCGCAGGTCCGGGAGCGGGGCTCCTGCCCCTCGGTGCTGTGCACCAGCCCGGAGGTGTCGGGGGTGGACAGAACCCCCAACAGTGACACGTCGATTAGTGAATTGTCCGTTTTCGGTTCTCGAGATGGCGCTGTGGCCGTTATTTTCCAGGCTTGCGCCCGCCAGGTTTGGGCCTCTGGTCGTTTTCACTAAACCACGTTTTACTAAAGGGGGTTCTGTCCATCCCCGAAGGTGGCGCGCGCGCTGGCGGTCCGGGCGTGGGGCAACGGGGGGTGCGACAGCTGGTCGGGGGGAACCCAGAGGGCCCCCTCGCGTCGTGGCGAGAGCCTCCGGGCGGGAGGTTTTTTTTTTCCGCCACTTCCGGAGGAGGAGGGGGAGGAGGAGGAGGAGGAGGAGGAGGAGGAGGAGGAGGAGGAGGAGGAGGAGGAGGGGGGAGGAGGAGGAGGAGGAGGAGGAGGAGGAGGAGGAGGAGGGAGGAGGAGGAGGAGGAGGAGGAGGTGGAGGAGGTGGAGGAGGGGCCTCTGGGGGCCCTTCCTGGGCCTCGGGGCCGTCCACAGAGGACTCAAGGATGAGGAAAACCGGTCCTGGGGCAGGGGTTGAGACCCAGACCCCCGACGTCATGATTTTTTCATGACGCGACCCCCAGAGGTCCAGACCTGTTCGCCGGGACCGGTTTTCCATCCTGAGGTGTTTTTTGACGGTCCCGAGGGCCGGCAAGGGCCCCCAGAGGCGGAAAATATAGAAAAACATCCCGTCGTGATTTTCTCATGATTCGAGGGGAGAGCATGCTACGCATGGAATGAATTCTATGGAAATCAATTGCAGTGGATCCGTGAGTGGATCAATCTTGATTGATGAGGCTATGATGCCTCTTTTGATCTTGAGCCGGCTATGATGCCCGCTCGTGCCCACCCCGTCCCGTCTTCAGGGACTTCGCATCCCCCTATGATGGTAGGATGGGAAGACGGGCCGCCGCCCCTGGCACTGCACGTGCGGTGCCAGGTTTGTGGGGATTTAGTTCGACCCCCGCAGTTCCAATGATGGAAACTGCGAGGGGTGTGAGGCCTCATGGTGGTCCTCACTGGTAAGGCCTATGATGGTCCTCACCGGGGGGGGAGAGGGCAAGGGCGGACGTCCACCAACAACGTTCGTCGTGCTCATCCTCCATGAGGTCGAGGTGCTGCCCGCACTGCCTGTATCGCGGCTCCGATGGGGTGGAGACCAGGAGGAGGAGAAGGAGGAGGAGGACGACGACGACGAGAAAGTTGAGTTCAATGAACAAATTGAGCGCGAAGGCCTATGATGGTCCTTCTTCCCAAAACGAGCCTTGCTGATGGCCCCGAATTGGGTGCGAGGTGCCTATGATGGCCCCTCTGGTTGCCTATGATGGCGGCACTAGACGACCGGCAGGGGACTGGGTCCCGTTCACGGTCCATTAGGGGAGAGCATGCTACGCATGGAATGAATTCAATGAAAATCAATTGCAGTGGATCCGTGAGTGGATCAATCTTGATTGATGAGGCTATGATGCCTCTTTTGATTTGAGCCGGCTATGATGCCCGCTCGTGCCCACCCCGTCCCGTCTTCAGGGACTTCGCATCCCCCTATGATGGTAGGATGGGAAGACGGGCCGCCGCCCCTGGCACTGCACGTACGGTGCCAGGTTTGTGGGGATTTGGTTCGACCCCCGCAGTTCCAATGATGGAAACTGCGAGGGGTGTGAGGCCTCATGGTGGTCCTCACTGGTAAGGCCTATGATGGTCCTCGCCGGGGGGGGAGAGGGCAAGGGCGGACGTCCACCAACAACGTTCGTCGTGCTCATCCTCCATGAGGTCGAGGTGCTGCCCGCACTGCCTGTATCGCGGCTCCGATGGGGTGGAGACCAGGAGGAGGAGAAGGAGGAGGAGGACGACGACGACGAGAAAGTTGAGTTCAATGAACAAATTGAGCGCGAAGGCCTATGATGGTCCTTCTTCCCAAAACGAGCCTTGCTGATGGCCCCGAATTGGGTGCGAGGTGCCTATGATGGCCCCTCTGGTTGCCTATGATGGCGGCACTAGACGACCGGCAGGGGACTGGGTCCCGTTCACGGTCCATTAGGGGAGAGCATGCTACGCATGGAATGAATTCAATGAAAATCAATTGCAGTGGATCCGTGAGTGGATCAATCTTGATTGATGAGGCTATGATGCCTCTTTTGATTTTGAGCCGGCTATGATGCCCGCTCGTGCCCACCCCGTCCCGTCTTCAGGGACTTCGCATCCCCCTATGATGGTAGGATGGGAAGACGGGCCGCCGCCCCTGGCACTGCACGTACGGTGCCAGGTTTGTGGGGATTTGGTTCGACCCCCGCAGTTCCAATGATGGAAACTGCGAGGGGTGTGAGGCCTCATGGTGGTCCTCACTGGTAAGGCCTATGATGGTCCTCACCGGGGGGGGAGAGGGCAAGGGCGGACGTCCACCAACAACGTTCGTCGTGCTCATCCTCCATGAGGTCGAGGTGCTGCCCGCACTGCCTGTATCGCGGCTCCGATGGGGTGGAGACCAGGAGGAGGAGAAGGAGGAGGAGGACGACGACGACGAGAAAGTTGAGTTCAATGAACAAATTGAGCGCGAAGGCCTATGATGGTCCTTCTTCCCAAAACGAGCCTTGCTGATGGCCCCGAATTGGGTGCGAGGTGCCTATGATGGCCCCTCTGGTTGCCTATGATGGCGGCACTAGACGACCGGCAGGGGACTGGGTCCCGTTCACGGTCCATTAGGGGAGAGCATGCTACGCATGGAATGAATTCAATGAAAATCAATTGCAGTGGATCCGTGAGTGGATCAATCTTGATGATGAGGCTATGATGCCTCTTTTGATTTTGAGCCGGCTATGATGCCCGCTCGTGCCCACCCCGTCCCGTCTTCAGGGACTTCGCATCCCCCTATGATGGTAGGATGGGAAGACGGGCCGCCGCCCCTGGCACTGCACGTACGGTGCCAGGTTTGTGGGGATTTGGTTCGACCCCCGCAGTTCCAATGATGGAAACTGCGAGGGGTGTGAGGCCTCATGGTGGTCCTCACTGGTAAGGCCTATGATGGTCCTCACCGGGGGGGGAGAGGGCAAGGGCGGACGTCCACCAACAACGTTCGTCGTGCTCATCCTCCATGAGGTCGAGGTGCTGCCCGCACTGCCTGTATCGCGGCTCCGATGGGGTGGAGACCAGGAGGAGGAGAAGGAGGAGGAGGACGACGACGACGAGAAAGTTGAGTTCAATGAACAAATTGAGCGCGAAGGCCTATGATGGTCCTTCTTCCCAAAACGAGCCTTGCTGATGGCCCCGAATTGGGTGCGAGGTGCCTATGATGGCCCCTCTGGTTGCCTATGATGGCGGCACTGGACGACCGGCAGGGGACTTGGTCCCGTTCGCGGTCCGTTAGGGGAGAGCATGCTACGCATGGAATGAATTCTATGGAAATCAATTGCAGTGGATCCGTGAGTGGATCAATCTTGATTGATGAGGCTATGATGCCTCTTTTGATCTTGAGCCGGCTATGATGCCCGCTCGTGCCCACCCCGTCCCGTCTTCAGGGACTTCGCATCCCCCTATGATGGTAGGATGGGAAGACGGGCCGGCGCGGCGAGAAAGTCACGGCGGTGGGGGGGGGCTGGGAAGAGTGGTGCTCGGAGGGGGAAGGGGTACTGTAGGTTCGTGTCGTGTCGACCAGCGGCGACCCCGCCAGCGGCGTTCAACGTTGAACGCCGTGGGCGACCCAGAATCGTTCGATGATGAACGATTTGGACGTTTCGAAACGGCCGATCGTTCAAGGTTGAACGATCCCCGCGGTGTCAGAAGCCAACGCCGAAGTCGGCACGACACGAACCTGCCGTGCGCACACCGCGGCCCTTGCCTCCTTTGGGCCTCTCTGGGCCTGCCTCCTGGGAGGCCTGCGTCGCCCCGGCCGGATGGGCTTCAAACTTCTGTGCAGAACGTCGATTTAGCGTCGATTTAGCGCCGATTTAGCGCCGATTTAGCGCCGATTTAGCGCCGATTTAGCGTCGATTTAGCGCCGATTTAGCGCCGATTTAGCGCCGATTTAGCGCCGATTTAGCGTCGATTTAGCGTCGATTCAGCGTCGATTCAGCGTCGATTCAGCGTCGATTTAGCGCCGATTTAGCGCCGATTTAGCGCCGATTTAGCGCCGATTTAGCGCCGATTTAGCGCCGATTTAGCGCCGATTTAGCGTCGATTAGCGTCGATTAGCGTCGATTAGCGTCGATTTAGCTTCTGGTAGTCGATGGGGTAGCGCCGATCTAGCGTCGATTTGGCGTCGTTTTAGCGTCGTCGATCAGCGTGCGAGAGGCTCCCATGAGTTACCGCCGGAGTCGGGGAAACGTAGGACTCGGGTTCGCCCGGACCCAGGGTTGCCGGCGCTGTTTGACGAGCCCGCTGTGACTTTTGACGGTCCAGCGTCCGCGGAGCGTTTGCAGTGGGAGTTCGCGTCGAATTTCAATTTGGGTCTAATCCTTTTCCTGACTGCCCCGTCAGGCCAACCTGAGTCCCCCGAACCCGAGTCTTACGTCTCCCCGAAATGGGGGGGTGTATACAGGTGCATCTTTTGGGCTCAAAAGGGCCCCTGAAGGGGCCACCTGAGGCCCAAAAGGGGCCCGAAAGGTGCACGTTGCTATTCCCTCCTCCCCAATTATGGCCCC